GGCCGCGTTACGAGCATGGGAACCATCAAATGGAATCTAACACCTACGGTGCCGTAATACGGTTTTAACCGGCCGCCGGCGTGCCGCAAATCTGCATAAAATATCGAATTTCGAATGGAAACGCGATTAACCGAGAGGCGTCGGTGCTCGAGCTTTTTAATCCCGGCGTATTCAGGAATTTTTCTTCGTTCCGAGCCGATCGCTTTCGATCCGCTTTTCAATCGGTTAAGACGATAAAGACGTCCTCTCGTCCCGTGATTCGTTACGACAATGTAACGATCGCGAAGCGATAGGATGCAATCGAGTCGTAGAACCCTGAAGCGTAGCGACCGAAGAAGATGAGCAAACGTTAGCCTTACAATCCGTTTACTCGACGAGTTGGCCAAAGATCAAGATACCTGTTCGCCTATAAATAGATCGATCGGCTCGGTAATGAGCTGGGAGCAGTCGTTTTATCGATATCGATCGCGTAATATCGCGCAGCTCGGAATATCTGCCCGCCTAATAGAATCGATAAGAGTAACATTTTGAAGAATTTACGTAAAACTACGAGGAAGCTTCTTACTCGATCTCGTCGCCTAACGAGATCTTCTTTCATCGATTAATCTTGGAATTCTTGCTTTATTTTTTCTTTATTCTCGCGGTAGAATAGCGACACGCTTCGACGCGAATTAATAAAAAAAATTGATTATGCATAAAATGCAAACTTAGAGAAGTTGTGAAAAATCGTCACTGTCGCGTGGCGCCATGCAGACTGCCGTGCATAAAAATAAAGTAGATCTCTTGGACGAGAACGCGGTTCTTCGTACGATATTCCGTGTTCTGATTTTGCCCGCTTTCGCGAGAAATTGACAGGCTGCCAATAGGGAAATTACGATACAGTTGTTCGTCCCCGTCGTTATTTAGATGGAAATTTCTCCGTGTAACGCGCGATAGTTGTTCCTCCGGCGAAATTTTTCCAAGGGCAAAGCGCGAACTCGAAGAGTGCACGCTTCAGAACGGCTGAGTGCGTTTGCACGTATGCAAAAGTGGCTGCACTTAAAGCCACTCGCTCCGTCGTGAGCGTGAAGTTCGGAAAAGACCAGGAGAGTCCCCGTTTCATCTCTTACAGCACTGATGAGCCATCTTTTTTCTTTTTTGAAAAAAAATTGAAAACTCGGTAAACCGTGTGCGCGACGTTTCTAAATGTTTCTAACGTTTCTAACGCAAAACGCGATTCTAAGCAAATAGCTCGTTATTTCAATAAATAATTATTGAAGAGTCATCGAATCGTAGAGAACAAGAAAACTGGAATTACTGTTCGATGTTTCTTCAAAATGGCGATATAAAGAGCACCGTAAGCTTCGGACAGACTATTAACTTTTACGCGTGTTATTCAGTACCTGTCGCCCGCCCACCTGCTATCATCCCGAAAGTAGCGATCGTTCTATCTGAAACGAGGATATAAAGTTATCCGTTAGCGTCTTTAATATACTTGGGAAACTTATTCTTACGAGATATCCGGTTCGTTAACGCGTCAGAAACTTTCGTCGGTCGCTTTAACATTTTATCGTAAAACCGCTCCAGATCTCGTTCTTCGGATGGTATCTGTAAACTTCAGATACCATTTAATATATTATCGTTCAAGATGGAATAATTTGGTAGACGTGTTTAAACAACACGCCGTCAAAACAACGGAGAAAATGACCCGACAGGCGGGTTTAAAACGCGATTTTAAGTAAATAGCTCGGTATTTCTGGAAGCAAGCAAACTAAAGAAATTGTGAAAACTTTTATCGCTCGGCCAGACAAGATCAATATTATCGAGGGCAAGAGCAATACTGCGGCAACCGAAATTACAGGATAACCTTTTCGCCATCCGATAACTTTTGGCTGACATCAACTTCCGTTTGGCAACAGTACTTCTTCTCTCTGCCCGGAAGTTCGCGAGAGCTATTCGATTCCCAATAAGGACCACCCTTAAATACGACTCTATTTAACTTCACCCTTCGAAAATTAAGTTTTAAAGTCACGGGAAACAAACTAATTTCCAGAATTCTTGGCAAGATTTTGCGATGAGCTAAATTGTCTGAAATTTGCGAATTAGAGTAATATTTCAAAATATTATATAACAATTTGTGTAATTGAAATAATATTTCAAATTGCCCGGTAGGAGAAAATATTGTATAATAATTTGAATAATTAAAATAATATTTCAAATTACCCGGTAAGAGAAAATATTATATATTAATTTGTACTCCCAAAGACATTCGCGGCCTAATGAACACCTTTTGATACAGTGTAGTATAATCAGGAATAAGATGAAGTACGAGAAATAAACGTAAGTCATTGCAAAAAACTAAGGATAAGGATTGAAACCGGTTGCAGAATTACAAAACAGACTAAATTGACCGTTACAATTATTAGCAAGTTTACAGATACGTGTAATTGGATTGCAATATTCATAAAAGAACCGGTCTGAATAAATGCGCTTTCCTAACAGGTATTGCTGGGATATTGAAATTAATCATATTTAAGATAAATAAATAATAAATAAAATTATAGATACTTTTAAAAAGGCAGATAACAAATTGCTTTCTGATTTTCATTATTACAATAAACTCCGTGTATTACATAAAATTATTGAAAATATCCGAGTTAAATACCATTGAAATTGCGATGTGTATTAGTCACGATTCGAGGGTAAAGAATGAAGATTTTTCATGGAAAATGATTCGCACGCAGGGTAAATAAATGGTCCGAGAAAAATAACCACCCACGCGCGGATTCTCTTTTCACCAGCACGCATTTAGTCGGGATAAATAATCCGTGAATCGTGCGCGCAATCTTGTAGAAATCTGCTTCAATAAAATACCTGGCGTTGTTTCACCAGCAAATTATCTAGCACGTTGAAACGGGCGTACAGTGATTCGTTAATCATCCATTCAAGCCACAAGGTTCTACGACGAAGATCGCAGGTGGATCTCCATGAATTCCTACGCCATCGACCTTTGCCTTTTATTGACCAGCGAATACCTTGATGATCGACGAGAACAAATAGTCAGTGTTCTTGAGTTGTTGCGAGAGAAACCGTGAAGTGCATCGTGTGAAAATAAAACATTCAAATGTGGTGAAGTATTTGAGAATTCAAGGTTTTGCTGTTCAGTGTTCAATCATTTATAGTTTTGATAATTCGTGTTTCTTTTCATTCCTGCTCGATTAATAGCTATTTGATTATCTAGCGAAACGTGAGTATCGCCGGGAATGCTTTTATTACGCCACGAAACTGATTCAAACACGCGGAACCAAAGGTTTTTAGAGGCAGGGAGGCTCGTAAAGCTAGCAATGCACCTTCCTCTGCCCGTATACAAAGGGCCATTAAAATAGTTCGAAGGGACTGAACGATTTCCTCGACGGATACGCGGTAGAGGGTTCAGGTTGTTCGAACGTTTCTTTGGACAAGATAATTCGGGAGCGGATTAAGATAGCAGCGATTTGTAGCACTTTCTTCTAGCGATATCCGGTGGAGAGGAATTTTCTGTCAGGTACAAGCTTATCAGAAACGGTGAGTAATGAATGCACATTAAACAACATTATTCTTGAATCTTTCTTTAAAAAAATTTTAAATTTTTTGCAAGTCTGAAACGTGTTTATAATTAATTATAATTAATACTCAATTTTTATTTTAATTATATTATCTGTTGAAAAATTCCATTATTTCATCGCATCATTAAGCATGCTAATTAAGCACCACCAAACTATGAATGAAATATCGAACATGATGCAATTATGTTTAAAGTATTTTTCTCAAAGCTGTAATCGCAGTCATTGTTATCTTATCGCTTCTCGTATACAGGGTGGTCTACGTAATAACTCGAAAGAAAAATTCATTTGCAATGTCAAAATAATTTTGCAATTGCATCTTTTCGTTGCCCGATTCTCTGACTTCCCATTGTAACGAAAATCTCATTGACGCGAAATAAAACGTGCGCTCCGCAAAATATTCGAAAGTCGGTCGTCTCGTAGCCCCAGGGCCGATTTACGTGGCAGACTTGCGTATTTATCGTTTCTTTATTTATTTTGCGATTCCTCGAACTGACCGAGCAACGGAGACGAGAACGGTCCCAGGTGCATACATCAGTTGGCAGATCGAGACACAAAGGAGCTACGTTTCGCAAGCCGCGGATTCGACAGCCGGAAGCTGGTCGGGAGATCTCGTTTGTTGGCCGAACAAAAGCGCGCGACGCTCGCTGTTTTCGAAATTGACCGATGCAACGCGATGCGACGAATCGTGAAAACTGGACGCGTTGTTTACGTAACACTGAAAATTTTCGTGCGAGAAACAATTGGCTCAATGACAATAGGTGTTTTGCTCGAATATTCCCCTGTATGTTCGTTCGTTGACAAGAGTTCGAATTCGTGATATTTAAATTAGAGTTTATTTCCAGTGAATTAATGAGGAAAAATTGAGGAGGTGTCGTCAAATTTCCATAAACGAGGCTTCTAGACTTGTTCCTGTGATAAATACCGCATAAATTAAAAAAAAAAGAAGGTGTATCCGACTATTTATAAATTTGATGCGCTGCGAAGCTATTGCAGGTCTTGCGATCGGAGCATCGAAATAGATGAACGAATTAACAGTCGGTTTATTTGAACGTCAGTGCGTTGGCTCGCGCAAAAATTCTTTTTTCTTTACATCTGTAATACGTTGGAATGGAGTTTAAATTTGTAACAGTAGCTGCTCGTGAAATTTAAACATATGCAATGCGTTATTCGAACCTTCAAAAAAATCAGCGTAACAGATTCTTGGAACAGCGAGCTTGGAAACAAACGTGGTACAGTGACAGTGAGTTTATTTGCAAAAATTTCTTTTTATAAATCCTTTTATTAGAACCAATTTCCACTTTCTCAGTGAATACAAACGCGTATAACCAGCCACATATTAAAGATTCTTTAAAATCATTCTCACGCTTATAATCGAAACTTTCCCATCGACGCAACAATAAATCTGACGATACTCACTGGTCACGACGAAGTTGAAGTCCCGACGTGCTTCTTCCCGAAGTTCGTCTTTTTTCCAGCCACTGGAAAACGGTGAAAAGCGACGCTGACCGTCGCCTGTTCCTCCGGCTGATGGAAGCCGGGCTTCCTCGACGAATCGTCGATCCACTCGCGACGTCGAATCGAAAAGGTAAAAGCAAAGAGTGCACGTGGCGGGATAGGAAAGAACACGACCGCGAAAACGGGAGGCTACGACACGACCTCGCCGACGGTCGCAACGAGACTGAACTTCCAGCCCGCTACTCCACTCCAGCCTGGAAACAGCTGCTCCGGCAGCCAGCGCCAGAAAACTACGTGGTCGAACTGGCCGAGCGGTAACGCCGCGCCAAGTGCATCTTCTGCGTCCACGATCGGCCGTGGAGAAGGGGTATGCCGCAGAAAAAAATCACGTTTCACCCTATTGGGACAGCCGACGGTGTTGTACGCCTGTTCCCTCCACGGGAGAGGTCGCCTCCTCGCCTTGGGAAACCGCTTTTACGACGTGTTTAGCGACAGTTGATTGAAAGTTGCCTCGATCTTATCGTTTCGCAGTCGTTTGTACTTTTTCCTAGCCTCGTTTCAACCCCCTTCGAAACGAGATCCTGATCTACAGATCAATAATAAAGCCGACTTGAACGTACGCGATATCGTTATGGGGTACAATGATAAAGAGCTTTACAGTCGAACGAGACTCGGTAATTTATTACAGCTCGATATTAAGATCGGTATTTGATTTTGATCATTACTGCCGTGTATTAGATTTAATGCCCGCGATACCAGGTCTATTTCTTATGTCTCATTTAAAATTCTTCAGGAAATATCTGTTCGTAACGCAGGAAACGTGTCGTACACGTACCAAGGGGGATCTCCGAAGTATATCGGGGCCATTACCTGAAAAAGCGAATATACTCCCCTTCACTGACAGCTGCTCTTACGTGTAAATATTTACATTTCGTATGAGCCCTCGGGTCGTTCACACGCCGGTGGAAAGCTGCGATGCTCGTTGCATGCACACGTGAATGCGAGAGGGTGGCAGCGCAAATTTCAAGCGACTCCTATCTCCCTCTTTCCCTGAACACGTCCGATCAACTGACGTGAAACGTGAACGATCGAAAAGAAATGATTGGCGTGAATATCACGTCAAAATTATCGTGGAACGTCAACTCGGGATGCGCGTCCTTCCAACATCCATTTCTGTCATCAGGATCCTAAAGCTCCTCGTTGAATCGCGATTCGATGAATTCGTTGAATCTCCACTGGATGCACGCATGCAACAGAGAGATTCGAGTTTATTGGCCTGCTCCTAATGCACTTGTAAAGTAGCACCCTTGCGTCTGAAACGTGCCGTAGATTGGATTCTTACGGAACAAAGGTGTCGTTCCAGTTTTGTCGAGTCAAATGCGAGAGGAAAGTTTCGTCGATTCAGGTGGTTGAACGAGCACCAGGAGGCCGCTGATAAGACGAAGTTCGAAGGGAATATGCAAACGTGCGTGGCCATGTAAGCTTATCGGGTCTTAAGTATTAGAATTTAGATCGGTGCGCGGCAGACTTGCTTGTGGCACGTCTACAAATGCTTCCTAGTTGACGACAGAGAATATTAACCCTTTGCGGTCGTACGTCTGCCTTAGCCACCGCGTCTAACTCGTATCTAACGTAGAAAATGACGAAACTTTGTATGCAAATAGCTTGGTTCAGGTAACAAAATTTCTGATCTGAAGCCTGGGATTTGAAGAATTGAAAAATCCTTAGTACTCGTCCATTCCTCGCGCTTCATTGAAGTTATTCCACCCTTTCCTTCGTCCCCCGTCCCTATGTTCAACGATGTATCCGCGTGTCTTCTAGCCAGAAACGAATCGTAGCTCTTCCAGTCGAAGCAGAAGAGGAATAAGAAGAGACAGGATTACGTGTTCGGCGAACGATCGTTCGGAAAGCGTTCGCTCATACGATCCTTTTTCCACGGCATCGTTCTCTTCCGGTCGCTTTGACCGGAGTCGCATGCATAAGTAAGCCCTCACCGATCGGCTATTTATTTAGACACCGGCCCCGAGCTCGATGGCGCCAGAATATTTGCGATATTGCGAAGTCTGCAGCGAGTGGGCGGTCGTGGTTCAGGTGAAATGTTTATGCCTTTCCAGCCTGCACACGCTTGCCTCTTCCAGGTGGTAAAAGAAGTCACGAGGAAAAATGCATGGACCCTGAAGTAAAGTACGTTTGAAAGGAATGCCTTGGAAACGACGACTCCACCCGAGTCGAAATTTAAATTATGTACTTTGGACCTATCTATTGTGCACGAGGTTCTAAAGGTGAAAAGTGAAATTTTGAAATACACACTTGTAAGTAAATTTAATTAATAGGTTTTTCATGATTTTTAGGATACGAACAGTATCGAGATAGAATGTCATGGAAATAAAGGACGTAATATTCGGTCGAACTTCAGCAACCGCATCATACATATTTACGACGAACTTTCTTCATTGTTTTTTTATATTCCGAGTTGGACGAAGCGACGCGACGCCCACGCGTTCTAGCGCATCGTTCGTGTTTCATGCTCGAATTCTCACGAGTTTATCGGAAAACCTGATGTCTCGGTGACGCTATAAAGTATCATCCCCAGGGGAACTCTTGCTTTTATCATTAGCCCTGGCAGTCGCAAGAATGTTGGCCGATGCCACGGTGAAAGGTAGCAGGAGAGATAAGGATGGAGAACGGTTAGATAGGAGAATGTGTGTCGAGTAGTCTGCGACATTTTCGAATCCATAACAGGGCTAGAGAGTCGAGGAGCTCGCTACTGCAGGTCATACATAATGCAGGCACAAAGTGGAGATGAACGGCTGCAGGTAACGGTGCATGTTAAATCCGCAATGGAAATTTCACGTGAAAACTTCTGATTGTCGTACCGTCTACCGTCGAATTTTTCTTTTCTATAAATAATTTAACCACGCCTTCTCTCGATTATGCAAACCCATCCAGAGTATCCTTTTTTTTCCCTTTTCTTTCTCCTCATTCCCCTCCTTTCTCCTCATTTTCCCTTTTCTTTCTCCTCAATCCAAAAACTGTTAATGCGACTATGAATTTCTAAATATTCATTAGGTGAATACAACGTATATTGCATTGCAACGTAATCTTTTTATGAAGATTCAAATATCTTGAATTCGAAAAAAAAGGGACATCGAATCCATGTTTTCCCCGACTGAACGGCAACCCCTTCGTTCGAGGCAGTGCGCACAGGTAAGAAGTAACATGCTCCTCACGTGCTGTACCCGCGTTAGAGGAGCACTCCCCGTCTCATTTACCAATAAACGGATCGGATTACCGGCGGACCACCGACGGATAGAGCAAGAGTTACTTTACGCTGAATTAGGTCACCTGTTCCTCCGGTTTGTCCAGACAGGAAGTCGTTGAAGTTCGTCAATTACGCGATGCACCCCTGTTCATTAATATGTACACCGCGTTGCTCGGGCGTTCTTAACGAGGGACCGTTTAATCGAAAGAAAGCATCTCCGGGCAGGTCGCATCTTATTTAGTTATTTATACAAAACGACCCCCGCGTGAAATTAAACTGTGCGTGCGGCTTGATTAAAACGAAATGTAACCGGTTGCACGAAACCGCAGGAACGAAGAAGATCGGCTCGTTCCCTTCGCGTCTCCGTCATTGGAACGGAGAGAGCACTTCTGTCTCCTCCGACGATTAGGTCATCTTCACCCTTGCGGCGTTTTCATCTGTGATGACAAAGCTACGGCATATCCCGGATGCGATGATTATAGTTAAGAATCACCGAGTCTTACTGGCCAATCTGCTCGTTCTTCTCTTCTTACCCTCTGCCGGCCCCGCTTTCCTGCCTTCTTACAGACAGGACGACCACGTGCGCCCTGTCAGGGCCCACGCGACACCCATTACGGGCAATCGGCCCTTCAAATACGCTTTAAACGGCCCCGGCTGATTCTTCAATCTCGCCGTGGAATGCGTCTTCAATAAGTGGTCACGCTTGCCGGAATTATAATATTATCTAGTTGGTGGCAGCGTAACCGGACAAGAAGAATCAGCAGCTCGTTATGCAACGATGCGTGGATTATCCTCGTCTCGGGTCAGTTTAGATTCGTTGTAAGTGAAAGGATCAATCGTGTTTGTTCATTGATATTTAATTATATATACATTCTGGTGTAAACATTTAATTTTGTATTTCATTATCTACACACGGTGGATCGTTATCTGTGTACAAATTAAATACGATGCGGTTCGCTGTAACGAAACATTAATTCAAACGCGTTCAGACTCGCGTTACACTCATACAATAATATATTCGTACAGTATAAAATTACTTTCATGTTTACACGCTTACCCTTTTATCATGTACATATCACATAATACGATTATTATGTGTGATAGCAAACATTCCGGGGGTTGTTTTTTCATTCTCGAGAACGCGTTTGCCTTCGCGATGAAGAAACTTGACGGCGATAACATCCTTTGAAAACTTACTAATTACAGATGACACTGATTATGTTGCTAGCATATTATACTGATACAGAAATATGATGATACACAAAGACATTTACAGCCGAAGAAAAATCGATTACGTAGAAATATTAAGTAAAACCAGCTTAATATTATGAAAGTTCATACAGATTAGTTTAAAAATTCGCACAAGAGAAAGGATATCAAATATTTCCACCAGCACCGTCGAACAACTGCTTATTTATAGCAGAGAATTATTCTCGAAATAAATAGTACCTTTAAAGGCATTAGCCATTCGAACCGAACAGCATAGTCATGGGCAATAAATAAAATTATGCTTGGAACTTTGAGAACACAATTTGTAATGAGCCTGAAATAAAAGTGATCTCAAAATTTCTGTTCTTCTATGAATTAGGAGTATACGCCCATTAACATTCTAAATTACACAAAATTCAACCTTGGACGGGGAATCTTTTGGCACGTAGTGGTCCATAGCATAATGGCACTTTCAAACCACTCTTAAAGTGGATAAATTAATCGTACTAATATTTCGTCCCTTATAGTTGTTCTACTATGTCATGATCGTTCTTATAAGAAGATTGTTTGAAAGTAGTTTTCTGAGAATGTTTCGTTCTTTGTAACTCTTTAGCAAAGTACATTATAGTCTTTTTAAGTCCTTCAGCTAAAGGAACCTTTGGCTCCCAATTTAAATATTTCTTAGCTCTACTAATATCAGGTCTTCTCCTTTGAGGATCATCCTCGACCGCGGCAAGCTCAACTACTTTACTATTTGTACCAACTAACTCCTTTATTATAATAGCAAATTCTGTAAGGATTAAAATCTGTTAGATGTCTCTCTATGACACTATAAGTATTCTACTTTGTAGCGATTACTTACCTTCTATCGTATGCTCAACAGGATTTCCAATGTTTATAGGCTGGGTATAATTAGACGCCATTAAGGCAACTAACCCGTCAACCAAATCAGAAACATATTGAAAAGATCGCGTTTGTTTTCCACTACCGTATATTGTAATCGAATCATTTTGTAGTGCTTGAAGAATGAAGTTCGAAACTACGCGACCATCGTTCATATGCATTCTAGGGCCAAAAGTATTAAAAATTCGGGCAACACGTACCCTTACACCTTCCTGTCTCATATAAGCATAGCTTAATGTTTCAGCAACGCGTTTTCCTTCATCGTAACAAGCTCTTGGACCTAACGAAAATTATATTATTAATTAAATACAATTGAAATAATTTCTCACATACCTATAGGATTGACATGACCCCAATATGTTTCTGTTTGAGGATGTTCATTAGGATCTCCATAAACTTCTGATGTACTTGCAATTAAAACGGTTGCTCCCACTCGTTTTGCAAGACCTAATATAAATCAGTAATATCTAAGTTTACTTACTGATAATACATATCTATTTTGAATTCAGATAAAGCAACTCTTATATAATATTACTTACCTAATATATTTATTGTACCTAAAGTGTTTGTTTTTATAGTTTTCACTGGGTTAAGCATGTAATGCGGTGGACTAGCTGGGCTAGCAAGATGATATATTTCATCAACTTCTAAATAAAGGGGTCTCACAATGTCATGATGAACCAGTTCAAAATTCTCATGACCAACCCAGTGTTCAACGTTGCGTTTTCTTCCAGTAAAAAAGTTATCTACAACTATCACTTCATGGCCAGCAAGCATTAAACGGTCAACTAAATGAGAGCCAACAAAACCTGCTCCACCTGTGACTAAAATTCTCTTTCGATTTTTGTAATTAAGAAACTTCACTACTGGGAAGTCCTTTGACACTCTGTTCTCAATTTTAGCTTCAAGATGGTCAAGTTTTCCTTCCAGTTCACGAATTCGTATTTTTGCTTCTTCGATATTTTTAATGTCAGCATATCGTATATTTTCATTTGTATCTACTACTTTTTCATTATCGGTTTCAATATCATTTATATCCTCTATATTAGATTTACGGTCTCGCGGATGAATCCGGGGAAAGGATTGTTCTTCTTCTGGACTGACTAAGGTTTTGTAAAATCCCAACACTACAACATAAAATTTACAATTATTATTTATAAATGAAGATGAAATTAGTGTGATTTTTGATAGTACGGAATCATTTACCTAAAATTACACAAATCGCGGAAAACGCAACCTGTTTCATCTTTCGTGGCGTAAGAACCATGCTTTAATATTACACATTTCATTGAGGGTATTGATGTCAGCTTTCACTTCATCTTATTACAGATTTTCAACATGATATCAACGATAATATTGAACGATCGAAGAGATAATATTTGGTCGTAACAGATATGTCATTTTTCAATTTACATAATTAAAAAACATAACCTCTTACATCATTCCACCATTTACTGAAAAACTGACGCAGATAAAGACCAAACGCTTTATAAAATGTTATAGGATCTGAAATACCGACATTGTCCATTCCACGGTTAATTTAGAAACTACATCGGACAAATTGTTTGAGGTTGGTCACGTAGAAAGAAATTTTTTGAAAGAAGAAAGCAATTTCTTCTTATGTTAATGCCATTATTCACCACCAGGGGATGCTGAGGATTCTGTTTTCAAAGAGCGCATTGATAAGAAACGAAAAAATGCCCAATATTTTCACTTATTAAAGGTTAATTACTTGACATTTACATTACATAAAGAATGTATTACATGACTGATTGATTGAACGACAGTGCTGCTATCTGAGCACTTTACACAAGCGTTTTACAAATTATGTTGTTTATTATCTGTTTAATCCACTGAACTCTAGTAGTTTAGAATTCGGTGGTTTAATCTGACGTATCCTAAGCCGATAACTTAACCTCAAAATTTGCAGAGTATATGCACGCAGGCGCAGATGCCGTTTTTTGATTGATATATAAGGCTGTGGCAGTACAAAGGAAACATCTCAAGTAGTTTTTCTGGAGTCGCAGTGACAGTGGTATTTGAAATATGGCAGAGGTCATTGATTGTAATTTTCCTGTATGGGGCCTTTTACCTAAAAAAGAAACTGGTGTCACTCAATTTCTTACCAAATATCCTGAATATGACGGCCGGGGAGTTATTATTGCAATTTTCGATTCAGGGATTGATCCTGGGGCTCCTGGTATGCAGGTAAGCTTTTATACAGGCACGCCTCGAGATTGTTCAAATCAGTTTTTCTTTGTCTTTTCTTTTTTTTTTAATTTTAGCCAAATATCTTTTTCTTTCCTAAACCATTTTATGGAATTTCAGTTTAACAGACACACTTGTTTCACTCATAAATTTGTTTATTTTATCTGTATATAAAATGAGATATTTTATTATAATTTTATTTACAATGTAATTTAGAAAATACATAATATACAGTTTGTTCTTTATCCTTTATTTTCTCATTTTTTTTAAAATTAAGTATCTATTAAACATTTCTGTTGTATTGTAATGTAATGATTGATTACTATTATATGTTTAATTGTTTGTATATTCACAATAATTATCTTAACAGTATATATTTTAACATAGTACGGAGGTATTAGTCATTTACTTTTGCATTTCAATGTCTTTGTCATACATTGTTATACAATAACATTAAAAGGATGATGCAGCAATTTCTTATTATAAGCATCAAATAACACAAAATACTTTATCTTCTAATAAAGATACTTTATCTAGCTGACTTCGGATGGAAAACCAAAAATTATTGAAAGGTATGACTGTAGTGGAGCTGGAGATGTGGATACAAGCAAAGTTGTGCAAGCACCTGATGGGTATATAAGTGGTATCAGCGGTAGAAAATTAAAGGTATATTTCAAAAGACATGAAATTTAATATTTACATGGAATAATAAACAAGGAAACAATGTTATAAAGTTTCTTTTTTTTATTACATTCGTTTAGGTTCCTTCAAGTTGGGTAAATCCCACTGGAGAATATCACATTGGTGTAAAAAATCTGTATTCATTATATCCAGGCAAATTAAGAGAAAGGGTATTACAAGAACGAAAAAAACGTTTATGGGACAATCACCATAAATCTGCACTTGCAGAAGCATCTAGACAACTACAAGTAAATAATTGTGATAATTATATGTTGGCATTATTTTATGTAAATCTTAAAGGATAACATCATTTTGAAGTTTTTTATAAGTCTTGTTAATCTGCTGTGCATTAAAATTTATGGTTTTAAATTATTTTTAAAATTAAAATAAAACAGTGGCCTATATGTCAATACAAATATTTAAGAGTAAGTTCTTAAATAGGCTTTTAGACCATGTGATCCAAAGATAGGGTTGTTGTGGGTATGTTGAACCATGCAATCAAATCAGGCCAGTTTCACAATGTGTCACAGTGATCTGTATCTAATGCTATATTTATATTTGGCAGTTTGATCTGCTGTAGAGTCATTGATTGATTACATAATAGTGCTTAATGTTTTTTTATTCTTTCCAATAGCATATATATATATATATTTGAAACCTAAGCAAATATTTTGTAAATATGTGATCTTTATATTACACAATTATTATGCATAGGAATTTGAAGCAAAGAATCCACAATTAACATCTTTAAAAGATAGATTACAAAAGGAGGAACTTGAGGCAAGAGTTGATATATTAAATAATATTGAAAAAAAATATTCTGATGTAGGACCTACTTATGACTGTGTTGTCTTTCATGATGGTGAAGTTTGGAGGTAAAGTTTACATGTGTACCAAGATATTTCATTCGATGTAATTATTAATTTTTAAGTTAATGTTTTTATTTTATGATGCAGAGCATGCATTGACACCTCTGAAGAAGGTAACCTGGAAGCTGGGGTACTTCTAGGAGAATATTCTGTAACAAGGGAATTTGCACCTCTTATACAGGAAGATCAACTAAATATTAGTATCAATGTTCATGATGAAGGAAATACCTTAGAAATTGTTAGTTTATGTTGTAAGTATTAACAAATTTAAATTAATTTCGTTCTTTATTTATTTTTTAGATTTAACTACAATTAATTTCGTTATATTACAGCAAGTCATGGTACGCATGTAGCTTCGATAGCCGCCGCATACTTTCCCGATAATCCTGAATTAAACGGTGTAGCTCCTGGTGCTCAAATTATTTCATTAGGCGTTGGAGATAGCCGCATTGGTACAATGGAAACGGGAACCGCGGTTGTGCGAGCAATGATACACGTAATGAAACACAAAGAAAAGATACACGTGATAAATATGAGTTATGGAGAACATGCTCATTGGTCAAACTCAGGAAGAATAGGAGAATTGATGAATGAAGTTATTGACAAGTATGGTGTAACATGGGTAGCATCTGCTGGTAATCTCGGACCGGCTTTGTGCACTATTGGTTAGTTGATAAAACTTGAAAAGTTTTTTAAACAAATTTTCATTTACTATACTCCATCCGTTTTGAAATCATACAGGGACACCTCCAGATATTAGTTCCAACAGTGTCATTAGCGTTGGTGCCTATGTTTCTCCTGATATGATGGTAGCTGAATATTCTTTACGAGAAAAAATGCCGGGTATGTCATACACTTGGTCATCCCGTGGTCCAATGATTGATGGAGGAGCTGGAATTACTGTATGTGCGCCTGGTGGCGCGATCACTAGTGTTCCCAATTTTACATTAAGAAAAAGTCAGCTTATGAATGGTACAAGTATGGCTGCACCACATGTAACTGGAGCTATTGGTACGTGTACGATTACTATGATGGAAGTATTTTATATTAATAAAAATAATGTATTTTAAGTTTATTATGTACCTACATTACAGCTGTGCTTATATCGGGACTTCTTGCGAAGGGTTGCCCTTTTTCTCCATATAACATAAAAAGAGCTCTTGAGAACACAGCTTTGCATATACAAAATTTAGATCCTTTTGCACAAGGCTCAGGATTACTACAAGTTGAACGTGCATTTGATAATCTTGTTACTTATAGTGATGTACCTGAAAGAGATGTAAGATTTACTATCAATTGTGGTCCAAATAATGCTAAAGGAATTCATATGAGAAGCGGTATAATTGATCGGCCTAAAGATTATGCTGTTACTGTTGAACCTGTGTTCCTCAATAGCGAAAATACCGGTATAATTTTACATCTATTAATACAGTACTACATATTTTGAAGGGAATCCAATTTATTATAATATTTGGATACTTTTATAGACCCGGCTGTCAAAATTGCCTTCAATTTGAAACTGACTTTGGTATGTGATGCATCTTGGGTGCATTTTCCAACGCATCTTGATTTAATGAATATGGTACGCGCATTTGCTATTAAAGTAGATGGTTTTAATTTACCAGAGGGTGTTCATACGACCACGTAAGTATATCTTAACAAATGTTAAATTTATTACAGATATCATGTAACATTAACATTAATTGCATTCTTACAGTGTCAGAGCTTATGATGTAACAAACATCGCGAAAGGACCAGTGTTTCATATACCAGTTACTGTAGTACAGCCGCAAACACTGCCAAAAACTGCTGTCCTTCCAGATTTATCACATACAAGTGTTTTATTTAAACCTAATACATTGCATCGACATTTTATTCTCGTTCCCGAAGATGCAACATGGGCAGGTAAATTTTGTCTATGTTATTTCTAGTCTTGCAGTGTTGAAAATGCAGCATTAATATTTTTAATTAAATTGATTTTAGTTGTTAGATTGAAAAGCACAGAGAAAGATAAAACCGGAAGATTCGTAATTCATAGTGTTCAATTGAAGCCTCGTTTGTCTTGTAAAACTCTAGAAGTGAACAAGTTGTTTACTGTAACTTCTCAGTCCGAAATTATTCATCCGTTTGCTGTTCAGGTGCTACAGATTTCTATGATCTAATTTAAAAGAATACTAGATATTTATATCATAGATATATATGTGTGTCTTATTTGTAGGGCGGATTGATTTTGGAAGTGGTTGTTGCAAAATATTGGGCAAATATAGGTGATATGTTAGTTGATTATTGCATAGAATTCCACGGTATTCACATGATAGATGGAAGTCTTACAATGCAAGCTGGGGATGGAATAAATCGTTTAGAAGTACGAAGTTCTCTTAGAAATGAAGAAGTAGTTCCCTGTATATGTCTTAAATCATCTGTGCAAATTTTAAAGTATGTACAATTAAAAGTGTTTGTATTTTGTCCTTTTTTATTTTTTTATTTCAATATTTTTCTTAATGATACAGACCCACTGATGCAAAGATCGCTCCATTACGGGAACGAGACATTATTCCACATTCGCGACAAATTTATGAACTACAATTAACGTACACGTTCCACTGTGCAAAATCAACTGAAGTAACTCCAAATGCAGCGTTACTTAGTGATTTATTATACGAAAATGAATATGAAAGTCAAATGTGGATGATTTATGACAGTAACAAACAGCTTATTTGCTGTGGTGATGCATATCCATGCAAGGTAAATACTACTTATAAATTGAAATTAATACAGTAGTAAATAATTATACATTTTATTATAGTACGCGAATCAGAAATTAGAAAAAGGCGATTACACTTTGAAAATACATATACGGCATGAAAAGAAGGATTTACTTGACAAATTAACGGAAATGCCATTTTTGTTAAGTCACAAGTTAAGTAATCCAATTACTCTAGACGTTTACGCCAGTCAATCACAAGCCATGATTGGCGGCAAGAAAATGATAGCAGCTTCAGTTCCACCTGGTCATATCCTTCCACTATATATTGCTCCTATGTCGAATGAAAACAAGTAAGTATTTTATTCCAAATAACAATTCTTATTCTTATTTTTCGTTCGACAAGCATTGCAAAACATTTTTCAATACAATACGCAATGTAAAAGGACAATCAAACAGTAGAATTGGTTAACACGTAGCTTACATATATGTTATTTCAAGAATATCAGATATATTCTTTTGTATATGTAATAGTACACATATTTTTATATGTAAGTAGAGAAAGATGCATGGATAATTCTCCTGGAATTTTGAGATGTAAATGTTCAAACGATGTTAAACTAAAATTTTCTTACAGTTTAAATTAATATTAAGAAATATTAACTCTCAATTTATTTCCAATTTTTTTATTCATAAAATTATTTTTTATAAATTATTATTTTATATTTTTCTATTTTCTTTTTTTGTATATAAGTGAATTTTTTTTTGAATACTAAGAAAATTTTCTTCCTTTTCATCTCACATTGCAGCGCCGAAAACAAGTAAGTTTATGATATTTTTACGAACATTTTTAAACATTTACATGCTTTAAATGTGACTGATAAAAATATTATTTTATTGAAGTTGATAGTATTTTTGTTTTACTTGTATATCGCTTTATTGCTTCTTAAACGTATTGCTGTATTTTAAAGCTTAATATTTAAATATGTGTACTTACTTTTTTTTATTTAGATAAAAATAACATTTCTTTATGCAAAAAATTTCTTTTCTTATGCATTTTCCGAAAATATTTAATGTTTAGTCCCGTATGTATGTTTCACACTTAATGCTCTATACACCTCAACATGTAACAATATAAAACTCATGTTTTTAAAAAACACCACTATATGATTTCTTTTTATTTGAGTTTCGTTTAAGCTTATGTGCTTTGTTTATATCTTATTTTAGTAGTGAAAGATTTTAAACAATAACGATAAGAGAATTGATATATTTTGTTTAAATTAAAGAGCTTGCAGAAATACCACCTTGGGAAATGGTAGTTATCTACAAGGTACATTGACCTTCTGCAAGGACGAAAATGGAAAGAAAGTGGATTGTCACACATTTAAATATATATTATCTGAACCAAATAAAAAGTTCAGTAGTAGTAATAGCAACAACAGTAGCAGTGGTTCAAGCAAAACAACAAAGTGGGATGAATACAATGAAGCCCTTAGAGATTTTAAGTGCAACTGGCTTTCAAAAATGGGTAATCAAATTTTTCATCAATGCAATGTATATATAAATATGATATCACCTATAGCGATTATTACTTAAATATTTTATTCTTCTTTCCGGTTACAATTATACCAATAGCGCCTTCTACTCGTAAGTTATTATAGTGTGAACAAATGTTACTCCCAAATTTATGTTGAAAACCTTTTTACAACTTGCTCTAAAATGGTTTATTTTGTTTCCATGCACGAATATTCAATGCATAATGAATCAGTTGTTTATCCCCATTGTTCCCTCTCTTCGTAATTGATATTTAAAAGAAGTCATTCATTTCAGATCGACGTGTCGATAAAATGATCTCTAATTTTTAAAAATCACATTATCTACAATATTGTGTACTGTTAAGTAATTACCATGTTTTATGTGGATTGTTTTTTTCAAAGTGACTATATAAAATTTGTTCTTATGGTTATAAAATGAATGTACATTTGCATTTTCCTTTTGTGTCAAGATTATCAGTACTTGTTACTGCTAATAATAAAACGGTGGGACTATGTAAATAGAATTAACAAATAATTTATTCTTAATAACAGAACCTGGAGAATACGCCAATTTATTGTACGGAGAATTGAAGACTCTCTTCTCGGACCATTTGCCTGTTCACACTGCCATGCTCATGTCTTTGGATTCTCCGGAAGCTCGACGTCATGTGCCACACGATGATATCTCAGAAGAATCTGTTTCTCTGGCAAATCAAATCATAAGCGTTGCTGACTTCATGCTTACTAATATAGATCAGGACAAACTTTTAGCTTATTATGGACTGAAGAGTGATCAACGCGACGATGCAGCGAAAATTCGAACGAATATGGAGAGACAGAAGTTCAGCTTGATAAAAGCATTAGTAAAGAAAGGATGTGCATTGGCACGATTGTACATACACAATGCTAAGAAAGAGAGTGGAGGAGAGCTCGATGCTTATGCACATTTATTAGAAAGCGTAACACATCATTGGCAAGAAGTACAGAAGTTTGCTGAATCAACTGATATTAAGGCATGAAATTTTACATATTAAATGGTATTATGCTGTATTTAATTCTAGCATTTAATTTTTCTTTATTTATTTTATTTATAGGTCATTGCCCTGTCGTTATGGCATGCTCATATTAATAACCATTACGGTCGGTACTTGAAATTATTATTGCGTTATTATGAAGAACATCCAGTAAAGGAAGTTGACGAAAAGTGCATAGAAATTGCAAGGATTTTAGGATGGGAACATTTGTCACGTCACATTACCACTAGTATACCGGCACGCTATCCACCTTCATATAGATCGTTTTGATCACTGGTAAGGAGTGTTTAAAATGTATTATTTGCAAGTTCGCGTATTTATGAAATTTGGTAACGTGGACAGTAATATTTTTTAGGTGCGGTAAAAGATGTTTGATATTCTAATAAAAAAAGACTAATGATGGAAGGCAGTTTCCAGTGCAGCTCTATAAAGACAGAAATACTTCTGTCGAGCCATTCAGATGTATTATACATTTAGGAAAATATAATTTTATTAACATTAAAAAAAAAAAGGAGAAAAAAGTAATCCGAAATATTAGAACTATATTTTAATTTTTCAGCATAAGAAAATAAATTATGTTTAAACATAAATATATAATTTGCTTTATAAATATTGTAAAGTGATCAATCGATATTGATTACATCACTAAAAAATCATTGTGAGCAATAATATAAAAAATGGTTTTAACAAGTTAAAAGCACGTTGCAGATTTGTATGTATCAAGGAGAAATTTGTGTGTGACAATACGTGTATATGTATTTGCACATAAAAGATAATTATTTCATCGAACGTATCATTGTTTTATTAATGCACAAGTATTTGCGAAGGGAGGCCTTTGTCCATAAAGAGGAGTAGGATAATAAATAGTTAAGAAGCTCATAAAGGTAAAATAATAACTGAAAGGGGTGGGCCTTGGCCTATAAAGAGGGATAAAATTATATAAATAACTGGGAAAAATGAAATAAAAGGGGTCCGCGGCCGAGGTCCAGAAGAGGGATACAATCAAATGTTATTCTCCTTCGATGAGTTTATTTAATAATTAAAGAAAATAAATAAAGTAAATTAAATAAACTCCGAAAAGAAATCAAAGGACGATTATTATACTGATTGTACCCCCTTCGTACGGACCTAATCTCATTCAGGGTTGTCGGGGACCCCAATGCACCAATGACGCCATCTGGATACTGACTTGTTTTCAGCGTGGGATGTTAGGGACCCCGTTCCAGCGGGTCTGCATACTGACCTGATATTGTATTGGGGCGTCCGGGACCCCGAAGCGCCGGTGACTCCCTCTCCATACTGATAAGATTGTCTCTTGGGGTGTTAGAGACCCCGAAGTACGGTAGCACTCTCCTCTGCATATTGATCTAATATCGTCTTGGGGTGTCAGGGACCCCGAAGCACCGGTAGCGCTCTCTGCATACCGACATTATGGCATCTGGGGTATCTGGGACCCCGAAGCGCCGGAGACGCTCTCTGCATGTTGACATTATGGTATTTGGGGTGTCAGAGACCCCGAAGCGCCAGTGACGCTTTCTGTTACGACATAATGGCGTCTGGGATGCCAGAGACCCCGAAGCGCCAGTGACGCTTTCTGTTACGACATTATGGCGTCTGGGGTGCCAGGGACCCCGCAGCGCCGGTGACGCTTTCTGGTACGACATTATGGCGTCTGGGGTGCCAGGGACCCCGAAGTGCCGATGACGCTTTCTGTTACGACATTAAAGCGTGTGGGGTGCCAGGGACCCCGAAGCGCCAGTGATGCTTTCTACATACCGACGTTATGGCATCTGGGGTGCCAGGGACCCCTAAGATAAAATGTGCGTCCATGGACTTTCTATAGAAAAATTGAAAATTCTGTAACTTTTGACTCCGACCGCTCAGACGCACAAATGCAACGGTACTGAGGTAATCTCAGCGAGATCTCTCTAAAGACCTATAAAGCGTATCTCTGATATCCGCACATTAATAAAAAAGGAAAGAAATAGGGTTATAAAATTAACGCCACTTTTTTTAGGGAAGCCTACTGTACCTTTTACGATATGTTTATTTTAGAAATAAAAATGAAGTACCTAATTGAAATGATAATAAACATAACGTGTTTAATAGCCACGATATGAAGATATCCCATGTACATATATTAATGTAATCTTTATAAATTAATATGAATGAACTTGAAACAAAATTCATCACTGAACCAGCTTCATGGCTTTTAATAGCCGAAACATAATTTTTCCAAGATCATAATAAATTAATTTCACTACGGAAAAATGTTTTCGTATATAAAATTTGCAAGTAATACATAGCACATTCGTCAAAAGTTGCATAAAGAATTATGTCCTTATTACCATTATTCGATGAGAATTTTCCTTCTTATATAAAAAGTTATTATGAAAGTACCGTTAAAGTACTTTGGTATGATCAAGAATTTTCGCAAAGTCGATATCCACCGGGACAAAAGAGTAATGACATCTTTCAACATAATTAGTAATTGTATTGAGCATTACTGAATGTATAATTTTTATATATTTAATCTTCTTTTAGTTAGCAAAGCATGTACCCTTATTTGTCTTCTGGTTGCTCAATTTATATCTAAAACAGAATTATTAATATTTCATGTAGAAGGATGCTCTAAAATTATTGATATTATAGCTCAAGCTATGATAGAGGGTAATGCCATCCATACATGGAGTATTAAAGAAGGATTAATTTCCCATCCATATCTTAGTACAGAAGAAGCACTGAGACTTGGAGGCAGAGACTTAAGTTTATTAACAGAATGGGTATAAATTAAAACTGCATTGTATCTAAACATTTAGTATTTATAACAAATCAACCTTATTTTAGACATTTCAAGTATTTTACGAAAGAATTGAAATAGGTTTATATCAAAATATAAGTAGCTTTTTGCACAATTGGTACAGGATAGCAAAATCTAAGAATTTATTCATGCTTCTCATTACCTGCGGGCGTACAGTATTATTTATATTTCAAGAAGAAACATATAAGGTAAACTGGTTATTAAAACTTACAAACAGATATTTCAAATGAATATTTTGTTCTTAGGTAACTTTCTTTGACTCCCATAGTCATAATACAATTACAAATTCAAGACGCGGTTTAGTCATTGCACAGGTAAGAATATGTACTTACATGTAGTAAACTCGGTATGTTATAAATACTGTGCGATTTTGCATTTTTTAATGATAGTAACAAAAATGCATGTTAGATTAACAGTATAAAAAATAATGTAGGCAAATATAGACCAGTTGGAACTTTTATGTGATTGGTACATTGAAGATATATTAAATAAATGTGATGATGTTGAAGCAAATCAATATGAATTAGCATTTTTATATCCGAATAATGCATCATGCTGTGGCTGTAATTCTTTATGCAACTGTGGCAACTGTTGCAAAAAACATAAATAAAATGATTTAATATTTTATATTCACATATGTAAATATTTTAAAAATTATATAAATATACTAAACAAACAAAAAATTGCAAAACATTAAATATATAATTGAGTAATTTGTTTTATTACTATAAGTTTAAACATTTCTCTTAAAACTGTTGTTATGTAGTGATTATGGATTTTTTTTTTATTTAATTAGACATGTTATACAGAGTAAGACTGACAGATTTATTTACATTATTTACAATTTCATTCTAAAACTATTACAATTCTTTATTGTTCACGCAATGCTTAAACTATTCGAAAAAAATAACATAGCTTAAATCTGTAAATTCTATGTACTTTAGTATCACTTAAATGAAATGGAAATGTACAATTTTTGTTTTATGAACATTTCTTTCTGCATTGTGTGAACGTATTCCTGACAGTATTTAACTGGACTTTTTCTGTAATTAATACATATGTCAGAAACTTCATCATTTTATCTATCTTAACATTTTTATAAAATATAATCCGAAATTTGTGGACGATATATTTTCATATTGCTAATTATCTACTTTGCACCTTTCAATGTTGATATATTTAATTGAATATAATGTTTTGATTTCTTATCTGTTAACTATAAAGTTATAGAGACATATTTCTTTACATTATGTTTCTGCAATCTTGTCATACTGTATATAAATTAAAGTGATTAGTAATCTTGAAAAATTCACGTATTCTATACTAAACTACAAAAGCATTAATCACACATTTCATTGTGAAGTAGGAAGAAAACATTAAATATAAAATAGTATTAGTAGCTTTAACACTTTGTAGTACATACAAAAAATTTCACGAGAATTAAATTCGTTTTCATCAGTTGTTCGCTTCTCTTAATGTTCTTATGTGAATTCATTTCGTATAACTTTGAAACCAGCAAATATTCGAAACTGTGTTTCTATAAGATTATACGAAATAATGTATTTAACCTGTAATAATCATGCATAAAACTCATAAATTGAACTCGTAAAAAATTCTTAATTTATTTTCCCTAGCATCTAGTATCTCAAAATTACAATATAAATATTAATCTGTACTAACAAAAACAGAAATAAATCTTTTTCTATCACCTACTCGAATAGGTGATTACGAAGAGGTAAGCATACCAGTGCCGAAATGGGATTAAATTTAAAATACAGATTTTCCTCTCTGTGTTTTCTGTGTGTATATTACAAGTATTACATAGAGTGTAAAATTTATTTAATAACAATTTTTTAACAACGCAATTTCTAGAAATAACTATCTACAAAAAGGTATAAACGAAGTTTTCTCGTAATTTCTCTTCTTTTGAAGCCAAATTCGTGCAAAGGAACACAGTGAATGACTTCCTCAGTTTGCAAATACCGTCGGTAATTGAGCAACATTGTTCACTGTTATGTTTTGTTTTTTTAAACAAACTGATCACACATCATATTACTTTGTACAGATAAACGAATACAATTTATCTGAAAAACTTCATTATAAACGTAATATAATTTTTAATTAAGTTCATACAATACTTTTAGTTTCATCTGAAAGTAACCACTTGTTTACAAGTATTATTTTATATAATTTCTTTACATTATATAGTTATTATACACCATGATGGATTTTAATAATTATAGTATCTGCCTCTTTATCATGTTCTCTGTACACAAAGTAAAATGATGTTACTTTGTCAGAAAAATATAATCAAGTATCACTTGAAGAATATACGACTTTATAATTGAATAAATAAAGCTTTTTTTGTATGAAAATGTAATAAAAAGATGTTAGAGAGATTGACGAACTCTAGGCTGGGCCCATTCTACAAAATCATCTATCAATACGGGCCAGGCTCCCTCTTCATCATAATTGCTCATATCAGGATTGATCATAAGTGCAAAATCTAATAGTAAATTCCATGTATCTTTTGGAATTGATCTCTTATGGTGTTCCTGAAAAAAAGTATAAGTATTTTATATTATAATTATTCAATACATTTTCTCCTATAATCCTTCCTTTTGTAAAAATAAATTCTTGTTATTATGTAAGCATATCTATGTATTATGTCCCTTACCTGTAAAAACTGACACCATAAAGGCAGGAATTTAAATTTATCATCTAATACAATGTTCCAATATGCAATTGCCATATCCAAATCTAAACCTTTCTGTCCTGGATTTTTTGCATAATTGAATGTGAAATGATAAAAGTCTTTAAATTTCTGAGGATCCCTTAATTCATTTTCTAAACTACTTAAACGGGCTTTTAATTTGTCTATACTGTCCACACTGAAAAGCAAATTACAATAAATGGTATTGAAATGATACATGGAAATCAATTGGAAAGAAAAGAGGGCAATATTGTATTTACCCTAAATCCATCATGCCATTCATAAATTCATCTTTAGTGAATTCGCATTGTGTTTCTGCTCGAAATTTCCATGCAATGATTAATACTAATTTGCTTTCAGGACTCAAATCCAAGTCATCCAAAAATTTCATTATTCCATCTGCTGTAATCTTGTCTGGTTCATTTGGATCTATTTTGATCATGGTATCAAATATGACAAATATTACAAACACATTCTTAAATTTTGTATAATATCATTTTAGATTAAAAATCTTATATGGAATTACCTTGATATCGACTGAATAATATTTCTAGCTTCTTCTTATCTACTGAATTTTTTGGTTCTTTATAATATGCTTCAGGATTCTGGAAATAGTTATCACTTGCCAAGTCTAGTTTCCAATCATTTTGTGCTAAACAGTATATTGCTGTTTGTTCCTCAGTATGTGTAAATGTAATGAACTTCTTTACTTTGTCCCTTTGTGAAAACTTTAACTTATGCTATAATAACAATTAAATACAATGTCATTCACAAGTTACACTTCACTTAAAAAGTTTTATAATAAAAACATGTGTATATGCATTAAAAATTTCAAACTTTTAATTGTTCATAACACTAATACTGAACCCAAAGAAAATTTATTAACAAAATAAAATTTCAACATCCAGAATAGTTCAGATATTGTGTACATGATCTCATTGAAAGGCTGCTGTGAACTTCAAAAATTCTTAAATCTTAATGCATTTTATTACAAATAGATATAGAAGTTCATGCATTTATTTCCTGATATCGTTAAACATTAAGTATGCCACGAAGTTGATTTTATATTTTAAACAAAAGGGAACATTAACTTAGAATCACAATAGGTTATTTTAACAGTTTTATTGCGTTGTCACAAACGTTTGAGTTAAGAAGATAATTTTATCAATAAAATAAAATCACAAAAAATATTATATTAGCTTAATTCATAAATTTATTAACAGCTCACCATTTTAGCTAATTTTAGGCCACCGAAAGCCAAAATATTATTTCCTTTGCACTAAACTTGACATGAACATACGCATGTTCTGTGAAGGTCCTGAGAAATACAAATACACCAACAAGACCATAAGTAATGCCACCAGACGTTGTTAAAAGAAAACAACCTCGATAACAATGTCGCGGTTTATTTAAAAAAATTACATTTAATTTCTCATGCATCACATTTTGATCCAGTAATATAGAAAATCGCTAAAAACATTACATAATATGACTTTACGTTTGGAGGCTTCAATGCAAAGTTCTTTACCTCATACAGTGATTACAGATCCAACAAGATCAGACATTCTTTTGTTTTGAAAGGGTTTTGAATTTGTGCCTTGAGAACGAATGCCATCTGCTCTATCCTAGTATAAAAATAGAAAAAGATAAACAATTTATGTTATGTTATATATAATAATGTGAAAAACTTCGCACTGCAACAGTTTAACCCACGTTGGTGGTAATAGCAGGTTACTTCGATATCAAAGACTATACCCCATTACCGATTGTCAGTCAGTGGTCTTGAGCTCAGCCTTGCCATATTACAGCAACAAGAGGAGCAAGAAGGGGAGGTTGATTCAACCCTTCTATCAACATTAGGTATGACGGCTTTACCACAAAAAACTGGTGGAGGCGTCAGGGCCTTAGCGTCGGGAGTGGAAGCTCCAGGCGCCTTTGCACGCTGCCCGAGTAGAAGCCGGTACCGGGTGCGACCCCCGGTGTCGGCCACAGGGTAGATAGGAAGGGGTGGTCTCAATTTGGATCTCCCCCAAGATGGGCATTTGTATGCCACGCGTGGGGAGCTCTGGAGTAGATACAGGAATGTAAAGGGTGTTGGGTTGTAAGGGATACGGAGGTGTAAAAGAGGGACTGGTAAAACAGGCACGATCGTCATACCGACTGTATTCAATTGTGCTTGGGGCTTTCTGGGACCCCTGTATCATAAACCCCTTTAAAACAAGGGGTCCAGTCTTTTGTACTTGTAGTCACTGCTTCATAGGGCTTTCATATGCAAGAACGTCATCAATAAGATCATAAAATAACAAAATGCTATTATAAATACTGACCCACGCAAATGAATGAACATGCATAAAGTAGCAAGGGCATACATTAAAGATGAATGAATAAGTATTAATAGGAAATGTTGATATAGCATTATTTCACGTTTGTTTCTTTAACGTGATCCTTTAAATGGAAATAGTGTTGGCGTGATTTTATTAGCTCTTGTTACGTACTTTATATAATCGAATAGTTTTCAAAAGGATGTATATAAAATAACATATATTTATAAAAACCTTTTGCTATGATACTCGTGATTTGTATCTAATAATTAGCAGTTGCAATTGTCAAAGATTTGGAAGAAGGATATGTCATTGCTAGGTTACTGATCAATGATGTCAATAAAAACTCAGCAGTTATGTTTTTGGTAAGGAATGTGTGTACCCGAATATACTGTTCACAATATTGAGAAATGTCATTTTGTATAGAGTGAAATTTTCTTATATCTTTATCACAACCATATTTTTAATCATGTTTACAGGCATTCATTATGCAACCACAAAACAGATTTATTGGTTTGAAATTTAGACATGAATGATAATCTATAAACATCACAATGGGGGGAAGCATATTTGAAATAATTCCAATGTACCATCAGAATGGAAGTACAAGAGAAATTTGTCACTGGATAACACATATCAAGTTATCTAGAATCATAATGTTAACATCTGCTCTTTTATTCATTGTGCCATTATTTACGCATTATTATTTATCAAAGGTAACTTGTTTGAATAATTACATAGAAATATTGTTTGTAACTGCTCAAGTTGAAATAATAAATTATTTATTTGCAGGTGGAATCTGCATCTCCAGATAAAGATATTTATCGTACATTTTCCACATTAGAAGCTTTTGAGGATTTTACTCCCATGAAAGCTTCTCAATTGAAAATGAGAATAGAGGAAATGCTACGCATTAAAGTTTCTGTAAATAATGAGCTTAGGGATTTGAGTGCAAAAAGACAAAGGCTTCAAATTGAAGTTAGTAGTTTAACTCAGAAAATTGATGAACTTAAACAAGAATTATTACATCAGCAAACAGATCTTGATCGATTGAAAATTAGTGTTGAGCAGGCACAAGTAGCTCAAAGAGAAGCAGTTGAAAGAAATACTCCAGAATTGGCACCACCTAAGCGTATATTAATGAATTCTGTTCCTGTAGTATTACCAACTACTATACCACATTCATGTAGAATGTATAATTGTTTTGATCACAGCCGTTGCGCATTAACAAGCGGTTTTCCGGTATATTTATATGATCCAGATCAGTATTCAGTAGTAAATCCTAGCTGGGATGTGGATGGATTTTTGAAAACTACTATTAAACAAACTTTAGGTATGCGTGTATCCATATATTTATACATGTGCATTTATTAATTAATAAATGTTTGTAATTTAACAGGATACAATCCACATCTGACTGCTAATGCTGCTGAAGCTTGTATATACATAGTACTAATAGGAGAAGCTCTTTCCACCCAACCTAAAGTTGATAGAAAATACAGGAAAGCTATAGATGTAAAGAAATTACATGCACTTCCTTATTGGGGTGGAGATGGCAGAAATCATATTTTATTAAATTTAGCACGTAGAGATCTATCTGTTGAATCTGGAAATATTTTCAATGAAGTTGATACTGGAAGAGCCATAATAGTACAATCAACATTTTACAGAAATCAATTCCGTGAAGGTTTTGATATGGTTGTTCCTCCAATTTTGGGACCTCCTGGCGGAGATGTGTGGCAAGAATGTGCACAAATGTTACCTGCAAGAAGAAAATATCTGTTATCTTTTCAAGGAGAGATGAGATCTCCAAGAGTTACTACTATGACGCATCAAACTGATGATGCAGATATAGATCTAGAAAGATTAGCAGTTGATGAAAATAATTTAGATACTTTTATCATTCAACATCTTAAAGATATGAGTACTGGATTAACTTTGGATAAATTTTTTATTCAGTTCGAATGTATTCCGGCCTCGGAGGAAAAGAATGTAGTGGAAATTCTTGATTGGTCTCTCTGCGGAACCGATTCTTCAAGAAAAGCTATATTAAAGGAATCAACATTTGCTTTAATTTTGGCACCTAGTAATGCTTCATTTGTAACCACTTCGTCTATGCAAGCTCGGTTATACGAAGCTTTGCGATCAGGATCCATTCCAGTTTTTTTAGGCGGCGATCAGATTCTGTTGAGTTATGATGAAGTTATCAGTTGGCGTAGGGCAGCAATCTTTTTACCGAAGGTAAAATATTTTTATTGATAATACTGTTTCCAATTAGTTAAGTATGTTTCAAATTTCAGGCCAGAGTAACTGAAATGCACTTTTTACTACGTGCCGTTCCTGATACCGATCTGTTGAGTATGCGAAGACAGGGCAGATTAATATGGGAACGTTATTTAAGCACTGCACAGGGTGCAGTAGATACTATTGTAGCTGTAATTAGAGATCGACTTGGTATACCGCCCTTACCGGCACCTCAAACTGCCAGTCCAAGTATTTTTAATGAAAGCTTTGTGGTAAATATTTTAACACACATTTATGTTATTTATTTTGTATTGTTTATAATAATTTTATTATTCTGCAGCCTTTAAAATCTGATACCATTATTGCCGAGCCAGAAGCTGAAGAGAGTTTGGGTCCTTTAGAACCACCTTATCCGTCTCCTGCTTTCAAAAGAAATTACACCACAATGTTGCTTCAGGGACACGAAATTTGGAACGATTGGTTGGATCCATTTTATTTGTATCCACAATTACCTTTTGATACCGTTCTCCCTAGTGACGCAAAATTTCTTGGTAAATATAATCTGTCTTCTATACGACATCGAACATAAATATTTTTATCGAGGCTTTATAAATCATAGGATCTGAGGTTGGATTTAGACCAATCGGGAAAGGTGCTGGAGGCGCGGGCAAAGAGTTTAGCGAAGCTTTGGGTGGGAATTATCCAAGAGAACAGTTTACGATTGTAATGTTAACGTACGAACGAGAACAGGTTCTTATAAACTCTTTGGCCCGACTTTATGGATTACCATATTTAAATAAAGTTCTAGTAGTATGGAACAGCCCAAAGCCACCCATGGAAGATTTGAAGTGGCCAGATATTGGAGTTCCAATTCATGTAAATTTATACTTCATTCTTAAAAGGACAAAATGTATTACCCTCTCGATCATTAAAAAATGAAAATGATTCTTTTATTTAGGTAATCAAAGCTCCAAGGAACAGTTTAAACAATAGGTTTTTACCATTTGATGCTATCGAAACGGAAGCTGTTCTTTCAGTTGACGATGATGCTCATTTAAGACACGACGAAATTATGTTTGGATTTAGGTATTTCTGTTTCCTTTTTACGAGTGTTAAGATATAAAAATTGAGTATGGTATATATCAGTAACATCTATAGAGTATGGAGGGAACATCGAGATCGTGTAGTCGGATTTCCGGGTCGGTTTCACGCATGGGACCAGAATTATCACAATGCTTGGAATTATAATTCTAATTATTCGTGCGAGTTATCAATGGTTTTAACTGGCGCTGCGTTCATTCATAAACATTACACATATCTTTATACACATTGGCTACCGCAAGCGATACGAGACAAGGTTGACGAATACATGAATTGCGAAGATATAGCTATGAATTTCTTGATATCTCATTTAACAAGAAAACCACCTGTTAAGGTGCGTATTATGTGTACAAAATATTTTGTCAGTATTAAGACGGAAGACTTAATACAAAAAAATTATCATTTCAATGTCTGTTTATGTAAATTAGGTTACATCACGTTGGACATTTCGGTGTCCCGGCTGTCCAATTTCTCTTTCAGAAGACGATACCCATTTTCAAGAAAGGCACAAATGTATTAATTTCTTTGCTCAGGTAAGCAGCTTTTATTATTACACAGATTTTTACAGACTTCTGTAATTAAGTGCATTTCTAGAATCAGAGTATATACGTAATAGGCAAATATGCGAATGAACGATATATTTACCGATTACAGGTTTTTGGATACATGCCACTTTTAAATACACAGTATCGGGCTGACTCGATATTGTTTAAAACAAGAATCCCACACGATAAGCAGAAGTGTTTTAAATTTATATAAAAAGAACAAAATAGTAGGTATACATACACCCAGTAAACATCACTTGATAGAATTTACACGGTTTTGATAAGATTTTGACTGAATCGATAAACGTTTCCTATAAGGTGATATCATTACGTGAAATAAATGTTATAGAATTTTTTTATTGTCCTCTCTCTTTTTATTGTACTTTCTTTTTCTATCGATGTACATGTTGCTTGAATGAAATGCACATTTAAAAAGAAATTTATTAATAAAAAAATGTTGATGACTGTATACATATATATCATAACGAATATAGGACACAATGCAAACACCTTTTTATGTCAATGTACGCATAACTTACATCATATCGATTTTACCAATTTATAGTGAAAGCATAATAAATTTATTTACATAATGGTTGTTACGGACGTATATGATTTTTGTAAAACGACAGAATGGCTAAACTATTAAATATGTATACGATACGCATATGTACATATTAAGAGTCTCGAAAAAGGGGATGAAAATGTATCGACTTCGAATTATTTATGAATTTGACCAATACGATCATGGCTTTCCAATGATTATTGTTGCACACGATTTGCACAATAATCTCAGGTTGTAAATATACTGTTTCCCGTGATAATGTAAATATAATAATTAAGCGTAATTAATTAGATTTTAATACGTGTTAGGGCAGAGCTGGTGAACGGGTACAGCGTATGCAACTCAAAATTAAAAAACGATGATTTTTTTAAATATTGGAAAGTCGTTAATGATTATTTATAACAACGTGGAGTTATTTCTCTGAATGCTGCTTACTACTTATTTTTATCGAATTTTTTATTTTGTTAGGTCTAAATTTTATTCTAATTATACATCGATTTAATTATTGTGTGTTACGCCATTATAATGTGCCAAATCTCTAGCGATTATGTACACTCTTTAATTTAATGTAATTTATGCTTCTTCGGATATTAATTTTCCATTGCATAATACTCTTGAAATGTTGTTTGTAAATATATGTGTCGCACATCGTTCTGTTTTGTGTTATTTAATGCAAATGCGTGCAATTATTTAAACAGGTAGATAAGTGTAATTCGGCCAAGTATTATTGAATGTAAAAACCATTTTGTGAATTAAGTTTTATATATTGTGTTCTACACAACCGATTGTAAGCTAAACCTGAGTTGAATTCAGGCATACCTACAAGAAAACAAATATATATTATTTATGATTATCCAGAGAATTCAGATTATTAATCGCGTACGATGCTATTTGCTGTGTCGACTAAGAATTTTCACGATTTCAAATGCGATCTTCCGATATAATATCAGCGAAAGAGATTACCGAGTATCTCTGGCTTCGATCCAGCTATCATTAATCATGCGTGCCCGTATATTCTGCACCATAAAAACAAGTACACGAAACAGGTTGGCAGAGTCTACTAGTTTGGGGCTATGGTGGTTGACAGGTCATTTTAATATTCCCCTTGATTGATCGACATTTCATTCGTGATCTGTCGCGAAAGTTTAAGCGAAGAATATCACTTTTCATTCACGTTTTACCCATTTGCATTGCAGTTTTAATTTATGTCTATTTAATCATGGCAATCCATTAGTAAAACTATGAAAAGACTTTGCTTCATGAAATGAAAGCAATCTATCCGAAACAGTAATTACTACTTTCGCTAGTCAATCAAGCCAGTAGTATTAGCGCGTTTTGGGTCAGACACATTGACGCGCTGCCAGATGGACTGATTCTACTGATGAATTAACTCGGTGCTCCGTTATGCATGACTAACATCCCTAATTAAATGACTCTGATCTTCTTTTTTTCAATATTAAAGATCAAAACAACTGGTTCATCAACCCTTATTCATACCAAGAAACAACATATAGCGTCATGGAAACGTTCCATTTCGGAGCACCCTCTTTTCCCCTAAACTTCTGGCCAGCACGTCGTGCAATCTTTCGATAAGAAAGTTCGAAACGATTCATAGTTTCCCGGGTCACGATGGTGGCTGTGACGCGGTTTCGATGGCGTTCGAATTCACCGCCAGAACGTCCAAAGTGGTACCGTTGCGGCGGTGAACCCCATTGGCTTAGGGTGCGATCAATACCAGGTTTTCCATGACGTAAGTGCGGCGTGTGGTCCTTATTGGTTCGGACGTACGCCGCATCCCATTATTTATTAAGACCGCATGAATGGACGCTTTTCATGGATCTCGTTGATCGGATCGTTCGACGAGCCAGCATCGTGCGAAGCAAAGGGAAGCGGATCGGAGTCGAGGGAATCTCTGTAAGATCGGAGAAGGTAGAAACCGAGCGCAGGGAGAGACATCCGTTCTTGTTGCGTTTCCGTCTTGCCAGCTGCATATGCACGGGAAGAAAAGGGAATATCGTGCAGGCCGGGTGGTGGTCTCGAATGGACAAACAGAGTCGGCCAGGGAAGGGGACGAGCGGTTCGCGCAACTGCGGTCGTACACGAGCACGAGCAGAACAGGGTGTTCTCCGCGGTGAAAGGTCTGTTCGACGGGTCGGCTGAGGTTTCTTTTTTTTTTTACATGGACGATAGCTGCGACTGGGACCGAGGGTCGGTTCGTCGGAGGGTCGCGCGATTTCGAGGCCAGAATCCTAACAGGAAGTCGATTCGCGGCCGGAAATTAGCCCCCTTCGCGGAGACCGGTATTCTCGTTTCAGCCCGTTGCGGAGAGGGTTGGCAAAAGGTGCAGCAGGCGGTTTCGAGCGAGTCAGGGGGGGGGGGGGGGGGGGGAAGATAGTGGAAGGTAGACGGACGAGGGAGAGGGTAAGGGAGACGGAGGCAGATAGAGCAGGTGGAGGGAGAAAGATGTAGGCGATCAGGGAGAAAGAGAAAGAGAGAAGGGAGGGTTGAAAGGGAGAAAACGAGAGGGAGAGACGGTGTAGAAGAAGGAGCAAGAAGGAGAGACCGAGCCGTCAGTGAGAGTAGTACCAATCGCGGAGCGTTGGCGGACATAAGCGCGCTAGGGGTGTGGAATAAGCCCATTCGTGTGTTGTTCTAGCGTCGAGCGTAGCGAGAAAGGAAACGCTGAAACACGGAAGTGAGAGATATCGTTCGTTTCGCCATTCCCGTGACACCGATTCGACGGCGTAGCCACCGGTGTACGCGTGTGTAATCAGTGACAGCGAACGAGCGCGACCATCGGCAAACCCACTCGCCGCAAAGTCAGCCGCGATAACTATCGTAAGTGGTCGGTTTAACCTGACCAACGACGATAGAGGAACAGAGAAGTAGAATCCATTTATCGGGGAAACGATTTTTCGTTTCGAAGCAGCTGACTACACGGGCTGATTATCGTTGGAACGCAAGGGAAACGTCGAGGACAACCGGTCAGCTGAGGAAACGGCTCTCGTGGGTGTGGAACAATCCGGTCTAGGGCGATTGATTGTGTGGGTGTCGCGGTCGCTGCAGAGACGTCGAAGAGCGCCATCGTCGTCTCGGCCGCCACGTGAATCGCAAACACTAAGGAATACTTGTAGCGTTGAATATCGTCGCGCGTACCCCGAGACACGCGTACGTGGCAGGGATTCGAGTAAATATTCGTAGCGACGCGAACAGCGGACTGGCATCGAGTTAACGTCTGGCAAGCAGTGTCTCGCTGTTCCACAATTTCCCATCAGTTCGATTACGCTTGTGATATTTCGTTGATGAGAATCGTTGTCATCGTTTTTCGAACACTCTCCATCGATTGTGCTTCGACGCGGCGTTAAGTTGTTATCCGTTCGTCCAAGGAAGAGAGTGTTTTATTGTGTGCGCTTGAAGAACAAAACGTCTCCAGATATCGAAGATCGACCAGAGACAAGGGAAAAGTCGAAAGGAAAGAAAATTTGCCGAGGCTAAAGAGAAACACGACCAACGTAGCCATTACCCTAACGTTCCCGATTCTTGGTGGGCATCATCTAACCGACACTGATTCGTTCTAAACGGCATCGAAGTCAAGCGAGTTCACCTGTACCCGTGTGTGTATGTGTACAGAATCGCGTATTCCTCTGCAAAGTTCAAGAACCTGCGCTTCGTGTGTACGGCAGAAACGAGTGCAGCAACGGCACCCGTGACCCGTTTTCCTTTTCAATCGATGTACTCGTGAACTGGGCCGCTCGTCCGCTCGTCCGCTCGAAACCTTGCGATAGATAGCTCGAGGTGCTCGACCACAGGAAAACAGAGTATATAAACGGAGTAAACAAATGAAAAGGGAAGAAAAGGGATATATTCAGAGGGTTCGAGATATATATTTTTCGCGATAGGAGTAGAGGAATGTTGTAACCGAGCTGGTTAGAGGTAGACGAGCGGGGGCGAGCAGTGCGCACATTCTAACCTCGCCAGGCCGCCATATCGAGGAGGCGAGGAGGAAGCTGGTGGAAGGTCGGTTTCGAGGAACAGCCGGTGGTAGGGTTCGAGCACTCGTGTTCCATGGTGGGTTCGAGCGGAGAAGGTAGACCGGCTACCGGGGACGAGAGAATGCGAGAACCTCCTCACAGGCTGTGAACATGATTTGTCATACGGATGCGGTCGCTGGTAATCGTACGAGCAGAGATACCGACGACGAGGAAGCCGACGGAGACGAGGATCACGGAGCCAGGCTGCGTCGCGTTCGTGTCGATGATAATCGCATGAGAGGCAGCCTGTTGTCCGGTGAGAAGGCGCGGACGAACAAGGGTGCCAGTTGGTGTCGAGTGGCTTCCTTTTGTCCAGCCGGTCGGTCGAACGTGCTCGTCGACTGGTTTCCTGGCTGCGGATCGTTCACCAATTCCTTCACGGATTCGCGCGTCAGCTGTGTCGAACAGCAACCAGTGGAACGTTCGAAAGCGCGAACACCAGCGCGTCGCAACTTACCATTGTCGAACGCGTATCCGTGTTGTCGCGGCCAACCGGTCCGGTTACCCGGTGTCGGATGACTCCCCCCGTACGACACAGCCTTCCCGTAGTCGTAGAAAGGACGCAATACCCCGTAGGAACAAAGGTTATCGCGCGGCGAGCAAAGCACCTCGTCGTCGCGGTTTCTCATCGGCGGCGTCGTCGGTGGTGCGCCGGCCCGCGCGTCCCGTTAAACTCCTCGCGATTACACCTTCCCGTGCACCTTCCTATCTTACGTCCGTGATGGCGGCTGTACCTGATATGTCGCACCTCACCCCCGAGGAGAGGAGCACCATCGAGGAGGTTATGATCAGACATAAACAGGAGGAGGAGAAGGAAAATGAGATAATGAGGTACGTTGCCCTATCTATCTTCTATGCTCTCTGTACCTCTCTTCGTCTTGTCGATTCTATTAAGTCTGTTATTATATATTACAATAATAATATTAGTATTAGAAATCTACTCGAACAATTTTCATACATACAACTTTCTCCGAACATGTTCGAGAAGTTGTTCGATAAACTTCTGAAACACCCTGTATATCGCTACAGTTTCGTTTTCATACTTGTTGAACGGATTAGCGTTTCAAGAAGATTTACGTGATGCTCTCTCATGGAAATCAGTGACTCTTACGTGGCTCCTTAAATAAATAAGCAAGCGAGCGACGACAAAGCCAGAAGGCAGGCCAGGCAGCGCAGCGTGTCTCGGCAAGTAGTGAGAGGTCTGAATGGTCAGACGGGATAGGCGGACAGTTAGAAAATGTGGCTATGGACGGTCACGCGTCGTTGATCAGAATTACTGAACGAACCAAACGATATCCGATCGATCGAGTACATGTATTTCTTGACCAGCAAATTGTCCTCTCTGACGCGTTCCACCTATTTTCTCGACTCACCTGCTCGTTAGTCCTTGACCGTTTTATATCTATGATATCTTCTATTTAGGTATTCATCGTCGCGTACACGCTCGCTGATGATTATCCTCTGCCGGTTTCTCGCGTTCGCTATCTTTCAGAAATGACAATTTACGTTCGTTTCAGATTTTCTAATCGTCGAAATTTCGAATTTTTCAATAATTAAGAAACAAATTCGATGAAATTTTATATTGTAAAGTAACTATTTTTTTTTTTTTAAAGAGCGTCGAGTACAGGTGCACTTAGCTGTTCTTTTCTCTCCTACCCTTTTATAGACTGACATCCCTGCTGCATTCCGGTAGGTTAATAATAATCAATCAGTCGATTTATTAATCGATGATGTTAAAATTGTCTTTCGAAGTTTCAAAACTCGGCGGTAAAATTATATATCGTACAATGCTTACCCATGTGTCTATAGAGTTGCGTTCATAAATAAATATCCCAACAAAGTTTTCATAGATCAGTGGACGTCCATTTTAATCGTTTTTACACATTTACTTGTCTCTCTTCTCTTCGTTTACTTTCTTATCAAACAGAATATTCTAAACGAAGAAAATTCGCTTGAAAATTCGTTCGACGAAACAAAGCATCGAGCAGTTCCCTCAAATTTTACATCCCCTCGCAATGATTTTCTTCTATCTTTCTTTTTTTTCCAACAACTTTGCGTTCGCTCGTGTTGAAAGGAGCCAGTGACGGATGCGCCGGCAGCTCTCAGCTCGCATGTAATTACTGTCCGGGAGTCGCAGCGAGAGGCGACGCCGAGGAAAATGGACGATGTTCTTGGAGGAAGGCGTTTTATTGATAGGTTGTCGCTGATGGAAAACGGGAACGTGAGAAAGCAGTCGAGCGAAGGCAAAGGAGAGACAAAGAGCAGGGGGTGAATCGAGGGACAGAGAAGCGACGAGAAAAGGGGATGAACGCGAAAGAAGGTGAAAAAGAGAGAAGAAGAAGAGGCGAGGAAAGAGAGAGGGAGAGAGTAATGAGGAAAGCGTGCTTCGCCATACCGATGCGAGATCATGTAATGTGAACGACAAGTATGTGTAGGGACGCATGTAAAATGCAAGGCAGCAAGCCTTGACGTGGCACGGTAACGAGTTGCTGTACTTGCACACGGGGTGTGCATAGGGTATGCACAACTGCAGCCTGTGGATGGTGTGCGAAAGAGGTTGGATTGCTACGGTAAATTCAAGCCCGGATCCTGAAATATAGAGGCTGGCCCGGAGGAAAGGTGGCGCGTTTTAACGGGTCAACGTCGAGAAACGACTCTCTTTCTCTCTCTCTCTCTGTTCGCTACGCAAAGCACACAGGCTGCCAGTTAATTATCGCGCGATAATTTTAATCCTTGCACCGACGAGTCTCGGTGTATTCGAAAGGTGGCTCGCTTCGTATCAGTAAAAATAGATGTAACCTTTCGCGTCCCTGCTTCGAGCCAGGCTATTTTGCGTGCACCTCGTCAACCGATGGGATAGTACCTGTATATTTTTCTGACACAAATGATGAAAGGATAAAAGGTTGTCCGACAGATCTTTCGCAATTTGTTCGTAGGAGGAAAGTTCCCTCGGTTGGTACGATAATGAACCGCGTTTCCATGCACAGTCAACATATAAATCGTTGTTCTCTGACATTCCGTACACACGAATGTCACCTTTCCCCTTATCTCCTTCGACTGTTCTCGACGGGAACTATATAAAGCTCGTGCATCGAGGGACAAAGTTCCACGCGATGGTATGAAAAAAAAGAAGAAGAAAAAAAAAAAGAGGGTTCGAACCGGCCATTGGAAGTTTCGACGCGTCGCGTGAACGAGCAACGAAGAAAATTCTTTGTTCGAGGAGAACACGTAGCCAGGAAGCTCGAGGCTGGTGCTCGCGGACACCGGCGTGGCGGGGATTTTGTGGGACAGAGAAGAAAAAGTCGCGCGTGAGATCGCAGGAAGTGTTCGTTAAATAACCTACATTTCTCCGCTTTTGATCCGCCCCTTTGTTACGGAAGAATATATTTTTTCTCTCTCTCTCTCTCTCTCTCTTTCGCGTGACGGGAACGAAACGCGGACGCGTCCCGAAACGCGGACAGAACGTCAGCTTTCCAGCGATCGGCGTTGCGTGCTCACGATTATTGGTAAAGCAATTAGAGAAGCGTGGGCGGACACACGACGCTGTGTACTTTGCGACATGCAGTCGCGACCTTTGACTCGATCGGCAAACTCAAGATTTAGGTTACAGCTCGACTGTTTCGTGTGGAGGAAGGACGGTGGATAAAATTGCCACTTTCGACCCTGAATGGGACGAAAAATTCGTGCAAGCTTTTCTAAACTCGGCATAAATGAAATTTTCTGTGGCACACTATGTATTCCTTGATATAGACGGTTCTTTGTGCCAAAAACCGAGAAGAAAGTAGATAACGATCAGAAGGAATTCGGCCTGTTCTCAGGCGCAATTTCGATGATCCAAGTTTGAACCTGTCGGTGCCAACAACCCTTACTGTTTGCAAGTTCCGCCGTTCCTCGTACACGCGACCTAGAGACCGAGACTTCCGGTCGAAAAGAAACTCTACCTTCGTGTGCCAAGTACCGCCGCTCTCTCGTGCATCCTCGCTAACCTACTTGGCTTGCGACTTCGTCTTAACCAAGAGGCTAGCATCCCTTGTGATTAGGCTGTTTAACGTTGTGTACGAATCAGTACGAGCTTTCTTTAATCTTCGAACCTTTCAACGATGATTTAAAACTACGTCGAGCGGGATGAAATTATTTCTGGACGAATTAGAGGAGGTAGTTTGATTCGATGTTGGTAAGATCGCGAAAGGAAAAGCAACCGTGAGAAATTTTCAGTGTACAAGGGAAAGACGTAGAAGTGTCCTAAGCTAGTGGCGACTCGAATAAATCGATGACATCAATCACATTCCATTCCAGTTCAATTACCATCGCGATAAATTGACTGGGCTCTCGATATCAAAACTTGACCAATTCTTCGATTGTAACAATTCGTGATCGTGTTCTTCTGCGGTTAATTAACGTGTTATGTTCTCGAAACTTTTATTTATACATTTGTAGAGAAAATTTATCTGACAAGTCGAAAAGATTCTGCTATTGCCACGCGAGGGTTAATATAAAACGTCTATCTCTTGAAGCGCGATAATAAGACGGAAAACGAGTATTTTCCAAAATCGTTGGTGCTTGACTGTTGAACGAGCGATCGTCGTTTCAGCCACTAAAATCTGGGAAACCGTGCTAGAAGTCGAGTGGCGAGCAACGGTTAGAAACGACGAATTAGTTACGCGGCTGGAATTAAGTAGCTGCGCCTAAACGAAATCATACCGAGGACGGGTCAAAGTGGAACGCGGGAGAACGCGCTGCCTCTGGTGCAATTTGCGGAAAAATCCCGGCTCGGGCAAGGACGACAGGCTGAATTTTAATCGCTCGCCGCAGAAATCGAAATACCCGGCGAAGCTTTAGCCTCCTTTTGGTCGGTCTTGTTATACCCTCCGGCTTACAATTACGAAACGACGAACGAACCTTTCAAAATTGAAGATGTACCACTGTCCTCGATGGAACATGACCATTTCACTTCACTCAATTTGCCTCGCTTCTTCTGTGCTCTTTAACAAACATTCGAAACGTATTAAAGAACGATGCTTTGACAGTCGAGCATTGAAATTTTTAGACGAAAAACATTCGTATATTGACAAAATAATATCTAAAGAAATAGAAGATTGAAACTAAAAAATTATAGATTTGGCTTTGACGTTAAAGGGTTAACACGTTGAATACTACACAGTAGTAATATCTACGTATAGTCCGACATAGGATAAAGGTATTGCCACCTCGAAGTCTTTAAAGATAATAATCTATAATAATTCAACATTTACTATCAAATAATATTGAAAATGGAATAATAGAACTGGGGACGATATCTTTGCCTTCCCTATGGTCCCACTTTTCACATTTTCGATCTTGCTACTATGATATTGTCTTATGATAAGTTTGAAAAATTGTAATGGTACCTCTGCACCTATACATACATATTTATCGATGCTGTTAAACCATTTTCACTTGGGGGCTGTTCTTTTTCTACGGGACTCGTCTTTGTTCACCGTGTACCATTCGTTTGATGCTTCGATCTCGAATTTATACAGCATTACACTACTTCTAGCACGATGGTTTCTGCCGTTCAGCTTTATCTAGGCTCGCGATGCTGCGCATTAGTCTCGGGAAATGCACGGAAATTGAATCTCTTTTTGTAGGTCGATCGTACGACGGTATTTTTATCTCGGTCGAAAGGGAACGTCACGTATTCCAAACGCGTGTTCTGGTCGTTACCTAGCGAATTGATCCTGTTCAAGATATATTTTCCTTGGTTTCGAAGAGTATTCAGAGTACTCGGGATTTCGCGTTGCACTTTGATGTCGCATTCAACGAACCTTGCGATCTGTTAATTTATAACTTACAAAAGAAGGTTTAAGTGTCGGTTTCTAAAAAAGAAAGCCACGTAAGGGGCTGCTTTGCTTATTGAAACATCAGTGAAACAACTTTTTACTATCGTTTCTCGTTCTCTGATAAAACGATACTTGTTGTCCACAGACGAAAGCAGGACGAGGTGAAGATCCTCGAGGAAAGGATACGGGCCTGTTCGGAGAAACACAAGAAGGCGGGAGTGGAGCTGCATGCCACGTGTCACATATGCCTGAAAACCAAGTTCGCCGACGGCGTCGGCCACATCTGCAACTACTGCAGCATCCGGTGCTGCGCACGCTGCGGCGGAAAGGTCACTCTACGGTCGAACAAGGTAGGGGGCGAGATCGGAAAAGAAGCGGCAAGATATATTGTCCAGAGGAGAGAATCGAGCTTTCCTTCCTAGACTGCAACCTCTAATCCACCCTGTTTTTCTTTTCTTGCTTCCTCGCGTTTTAACATTCCATCACCGTACAGGTGGATCTAATTGACCGATCGGACCTCGTAACTTTGTTTCTTCTATCTCCTCTGTTACAGTCCCTCATAGACAGGCTGGTATTAATTTGTATAAAACCAGTTTATTAGTGATTTTAGGTTGATTTTAGGATGATAATGTAATTATTTATCGATACGGAAATTAACTGAGGTTAATCTTGAGTATTTCTTAGACTCCCTTCCTTCATTTACAATTGAAAATTTTGAAATTACTTGGTAAGGAATCGAGCGCCTTTAAGGGAGGACGGTCCGCGTACGGGCGCTCGATAATCCTCTGTTTTCCTTTTAATTACGGAAACCACTTAAATTTAGTGAACATCCACACTTTGAGGGATCACGAGTTTTATTTGTCGTCACACCGGTCAGGCTGTCGACCGAAAAAGATTCATTACCTAAATGAAGGGATCAAAGGAAATCCTCTGTGACGGTGCATTGCGGTACGCGAGCAACGGCAAACGCCCGGCTCTGGTGACATTTCAAGGCTCGTTCTTTCCCGATGGTAGTAGGGGCTTGGAAAATCCAAATAAAATCTCCATTGTGTGGGAACGTTTGAATTCTCATCGACGCTCGCTCGTAATCGTCGCTGATGAGCCGGTTAGCTTTATCAAAAAATCGATTCTACCATACGGTGCGTTCGAGTTTCCACTCGAACCATCGAACGAGGAGAAAGCTATCCACGATTCAGATACGAATAGTAATTCGTTGAATTTTCAAGAAATCGTCGTGCTTACGGGTAGCGATGGAAAAATTTGGAAAAAATACTCGAATTCTGTCTATATTAAAAGGAATCAAAGATTCCTATAATTACATATTGAACTTGATCCCGTCGTTGGTTGCGAGAATCGCCAGAAACGTCACAGACGAATCGATAAACGAGATCGTCGATCGTACACGCGAAGGTCCTCGTACGGAACCACGCGAATCGATGTTCTCGCGTTGTGAGAATCGAGTGGAAACTCGAAGTCACCGGCTCGGTCAGCCCGATAACTCTGATCAATGGGATCTTGGGTTGGAATCTCGGAAGAACGGAAACGAGACTACGATTGCCGAACTGTTTGCAACTATTATCTCGCGCCGCTATAGATTTTCGACTAACTATACTTGACTGGGTTACGCAATCGCACAGTTCTAAATAGAATGACAACGCGAACGGGTTGACTCGTTTAATAGGATTGTGTCTTTCGGGATGATGCGGATAAACGACACTTTTTCTCGCAGGTCTATTTTTAGCTGGAAAATTGCCACGTTCGCGGGATAAGTATAGCGGACTGTTGATTGAATAAAGTAAATTGATTAGGATGTATTGAACGTTAAGGAACGGGTCCATGGGTTTCCTCCCGCGTTAGACAATATTTCATGATTATTTATGTCGGAGCTACGAGAGCTTGCTTCGCTCTGTTTTAACTGCGAGGATCGTAAGATTCCTGGGACGAGGTCCGTTTCGCGCGTTATCGAAGATTCCGACGATTTCACGCAGTTCCAAGTCCTCGAGGTTTCGTAGAAAATTGGATCCACGAGGCAGTGATTTATCGTGATTCAAGGCAGTCCATTTATTCCCGTAGCGAGGAGATTTCGGACCAGTCGTCGCGACGCCAGGGTCGGTTAAAAGTGTGTAACGAAAGCTTTCCGTAGGAATACCGGGGTTCTAAATCAGTGAACCAGGCTTCTGGATGTAACGCGTGCCTTATTTTAGACTGTGGTTTGCAATAGTTCTTGTCCTAAGTCTTATACAGTTCGCGACCTTCGCCTACATATAAAGGATTGACGCTAGAAATGTCAATTTCCTGGAAACAATTAAGCACGGTCGCGTATCGTAAAAGAAGATAACTGGCGCGTGTCACTTGCGCACACCTGAAATACGTAGAAATAATTGACTTGTAGTTGACTGGCCCGTTTTTTTTTGCTTTGCTATCCCAATTAATCCATATAGCGAACACGTATGTGTGTTTTGAGTACGTGGGCGTAATGCCATCGCTAAATAGCCAGCCAGCGAATACGTTTCCCATTTATACGCCGCTATTTCCCTGGCCAGTCGCGTAATTTCGATGGGTTTTTCATCAATGGGATTGAAATAGTGCCTACAGGCTACGTCCCAGTCTTCATTGACCTTATCATCCTGCACCCTTCGCTTTTCAACCCGGAACACTATTCGCGATGCTTTATTGATTTAACGAACAATTGGTCATTAATTGATTGATTATAATTAGATGGTTCTGTTAACATTTGTTCGAAGATAGAAGCTGCTTGGAGAGATCAACTGAACTTTAATTTCGTTTATACGATTTTCATTGAAACAGAGTGAAGCAACGTATTCAATAAAGCATCATTTTAAACATAATTACTGTCGGGTATTTAATATTCATAACACAGCGCGAATTTCACAAATTAATTAAATTAATCAGTAGAATTAGGATAGCTCATGCGATTTTGACACGTTCATTCATATTAGATAATCGAGAACTTGTATCAGAAACTGAACAGTTCAAAGTTGAGGAGATAGAATGACTCTGATCATTTAATTTTTACGATAATTCGGTAACTCGATTGGCTGACGTTCTTCTCGTGGAAGGTTTCATCGAGTTCAAGAATTGCTTGTTCTCGTATCTGGCGACTAGCGTGGAACGGGCAATTTAACTTCGTTTTTGAAAGCGTCGCATCCGGTAACTGAGAAATAAGAGCGTCGGGATGGTACACGTACAGAGAATGCATCCGCGTATTTCAACCGGCAAGCGGTGGGTATAATAATAGAGGCAGAGGCCCGGAACTTCGGCTTACAACTTCCTGTAAGTTTATTGGTTTTCCTCGTACTTTCGTCTAGCTTAAGAAATGGAGGTTGGTTGGTGCAGTCGGTTAAAGCGAGCCGGAAGTTGCCTCCTGCAACCACGTAACTCTATAAAGACTGAATAGCGCAACAACCAATACATCTATTTATTTATTCACCAGTTCAAACTTGTCGTGCAACAGAATATTTAACGAAATTGGCATTCAAAACCGAGGATTAAATATTTCATCCTAACTTCATGTTTGCACTGGTGTATCTGTAATATTCAATTCCAGACTTTCTATTTATACGAAATATCGTTAGGAACGTTGCGGGATGGTTTCGATTTACGAGCTACCCCCGCTTTTTTTTTTCCGCTCACGATATTAACACCCTAACGTATCCTCCCCGATAACTGAAACTTCAGCAACTCCAACAAACCAGCACTATAACACGCTTCTCGGTCGAGCAGAGCGAACGTTCGAGCGTCTCATTTAATATGCCCGAAAATACATCGTTGACGGGGCGAAACACGCGCATAGCTCGTCGCACGAGCCCCAGGGCAACACGCAAAAGCACGATGATAAACGTCACCGGGCGCGTTACGACATCATCGATCCGCCAGAGCAGAACGCCCGTCCGTACGCTACACAAATGCTCGTTCAATTACTCGGCCTGGCGTGTCCGCACGACGGGTGTTCTTCGATTCGTTAGATAGCGAAGTACAAGTTCGATAAAAAAAAACATGCCTTCACGAATAACCCTCCCGGTACGATCATCTCTAATTATTTCCATATTTAATTGCTATTCTAAAATACGAAATGCTTTGAAAGGGTTAGAAAGCCTGGTACACCATCGTTAATCAGAAATCTGTTTAAATGAAAATCGAACAATCGGGGGTACTTTTTTAAAATCCCAGTCTAACCCGTGACTTTTCACCCTCTTCGTTTCCGGTCATCAGGGCACCAACCGCCCCCGTCATTTTCGTCCGCTTTCCTTTTTTTTTTCCTTTCCGCTGCTCGCCGTACGGTTTCCAGTCTGTCTCACTGTCTGCGTGGGAGCCTATGAATGGGGCGCGTCCCTGCGTGACGTCACCGAGCGTGTAACGGGCAGGGTAGGGGGGCCGGGGTCAGGAATGAAGCGTTGGGTGGACGAAGGTGTGGGTGGACTGTGGATGGATGTCGGGCGGCGTACAGGGGAGGAAACGTGACGCAACATATTGATCTAAGTTTCGTAGGGTGGGTCGGCGGTCGAGGGGGAGGGGTGGGAAGCAGGAAAACCGGGTACAAGGTGGCCAGTAAATTTACGTTGTTCTTCGTTTCGGCGCGGTTGTCCTGAGTGTTTGGTGTGCTCAGCACGCCGATCAAGGGGAAGGAGTGGCTTTGAAACAGCCGAAGCGTGGGCAGAAGGGTTGCTACCAGCTCGAACGTACGGGTCGTTGGTGTCTCTGTATTTCTGTTAATGATGTGCCGGTTATGTCATCGAGTCGTTGGTCGAGAAAATTCTTTCCTTCTTAATATTCTCTTTTCCCAAACTTTCTGACAGTCTATTTTTACTTCTATGTTTATCCTCGCGCGACAATTAAAGAATTATTTTTTTTCAAACAATTCGTCTACGAAGAATCTTCGTTCGATGAAACATGTCTAGAACGACGATATTATTGTCCTTTTCATTCGCGCGACCAGCCACAACATTCCCAATCCTTTCAAGATCGTGCCCGACATCGATACAATGTTTGCATAGTTCGCGTAGCCCATCGAATTACAATGACTTTCGATTAATGACCGACCGTGCCGAAATTACTGAAGCTCCGGAAGGCAGCCAGGCACGCGGGGGTGAATAGCAGCAAAGGCTGGCCCGTTCCAAGGTTGTGTGCCGATCCATTGTGTCCCAGCGAATGCACGCGTGTATCTCTGGTATTTATGTCAGAGACGAGCAGGGACTGACGGTAATTCTACTGGAACCCTGTCCGAGGAAGTATCCTTCGTTTCGATACACCGACATTCCTGCTCGTTTCATACAATCGATCCTTTCTACTTCTATCCTCGTCGCTCGCATACTTCCGATTATGATTCTCA